AAAAAAAAGAACAGACATTTATTTCTTACAGTTCTTTTTTTTTTTTTTGTTTTTTTTTTGTCTTTTTTACTGACTGGCAATGGGATCGCAACCCTTGGTGTCCCTCCCGCGCCTCGCTCAGCCAGTGAGTGGGAACCGGTCCGCATGTGGGATCCGAACCCTCGGGCGGGAGCGCCGCCGTGCTTCCCAAGCGGCGCACTCATCCAGTGTGCCACTGGGCCGGCCCCTATTTCTTACAGTTCTAAAGGCTGGGAAGTCCAAAACCAAGGTGCTGGCAGGTTTGGTGTTTGGTGAGGGGCTGGTCTCTGCTTCCAAGAGGGGAGGAATGCTGTGGGACTTAAAGAGGGGCAAAAAGAGCCTAAAGCTAGCTCCCTCCAGCCCTTTTATAAGGTACTAATCCATTCATGAGGTCAGAGCCCTTGTGATTTAGTCACTTCCCAAAAGGTCTTAACCCTTATGCCACCACAAAGGAGATTAAATTTCAACATGAATTTTGTAGGGGGCTCATTCAAACCATAGCAGCTTCCATCCTGGAGATGTAAGTTCTTTTTTCCTCTACTGATAATTGACAGACGTACCATCTTTCATCTGCCTTTTGGCGTCCTGGGTGTGACTGAGCCATTGGCATCTTTGCGTGTGCCACCCCTGGCCTCATTTTCAGAAACTGGAATTCTCTGGCACTGCTCCATAGCCACATACCACCTTCTTCTCACCTCTCTCATTGTTTGTTCTGCTGTTTCTAGTTCTTTCTCTTGGTGCTGGGGAAAAAGGAATTCAGCTTGAACCTTCTTTATTTGCAGGTCTCCACTATTAGTCTTGCTGTAGTCTGTTAGTACTTTGGTCCTTTGAAAAGAGGTCTTTTAAAGCCCCCATCTTCTCAGTTCCCACCCAAAATGAAGCCAATATCATCTTATGTCTGGATTATTCTACTTTTAAGCCAGATGTATTCATTTTACTCTTTATACTAATTCATCCTAGATGTCAGTGTCATATATGTTTTCCTAAGCATCTTGTTTAATTTTTCACTAGCATGACAGGATAAATTAACTGTTAGTCCTTATATCATTAGCATTGTTTCACCTGCAATTTTTGATTAATCCTAAACCAACCAATTTAAGCAGAAGTGGTTTATTACTGTGCATCACAAAAAGTCCTGAAGTAGGACAACTCCAAGGTGGACTAAGAGATTGACTTAGTGAATTGCCAAGGGCTCATCTCTCTGCTGCTCTGAGTCTGTCAGCATTACTCAGGCCACCTCCCCTCGTGGTTATCACATGGCTGTAATGGTTCCACCCCACACATGCATATAAATCAGTTGCCACTAAAATAAGAAGGGCTGTTTCTTCCCACATGACTCTTTCTATCAGGTAGTGTATTAGTCCATTTCTGTTGCTTATAACAGTACCTGAAACTGGGTAATTTATAAAGAATGGAGGTTCATCTGGCTTATGATTCTGGGACAGCTGCATCTGGCATGGGCCTCAGGCTGCCTCTACTTATAGTGGAAAACAGCAGGCAGCCAGCAGGTGCAAGATCACATGGTGAGGGGAAGCAAGAGAGAGAGTGGGGGGTGCCAGGGTCCTTTAAGCAACCGGCTCTTGTAGGAACTAATTGAGTGAGAACTCACTCATCACCCCCACCCCCAGGGCATTCATTTATTCATGAGGGATCTGCCCCTATGACCCAAACGCTCCCAGCATTGTCAAGTTGGGGATCAGATTTTGACATGAGCTTTTGGGGGACAATATATCCAAACTCTATCATTCCACTGCTGGCCCCCCAAAACTCATGTCTCTGTAACATACAAAATATAATCATTCCATCCTAATAGTCCCAAAAGTCTTAGCTTGTTTCAGCAACTTAAAATTCCATAGTCCGAAGTCTCATCTGAGACCAAAGGCAAAACTTCCTCTAGCTTTGAACCTGTAAAAATTAAACACAGATTATCTACTTCCAAGATACAGTGGTGGAACAGACCTTGGGTACACATTCCCATTTCAAAAGGGAGGAATAGGCCACAAGAAAGGTCCCAAACAAGTCCAAAACACAGCAGGGCAGATGTTAAATCTTAAAGCTCCAAAATAAGCTTCTTTGACTCCAAGTCCTGCATCCTGAGCACAGTGGAAGGTTTGGGCCCCCGAAGCCTTGTGCAGCCCCACCCCCTTGGCTCTGCCAGGTGCAGCCCACTCTTGCACTGGTGCCTGTGGCTTTTCCAGGCAGGCATTGCACATTGCTGGTGGCCCTACAGTTCTGGGGTCCTGGTGGCGGCCCTGTTCCCTTAGCTCCACTAGACATTGCCCTGGTGGGGGCTCTCTGTGTTGGGTCTGACCCCACATTTCTGCTCTTCATTGCTCTAGTAGATGGCCTTTGCTTGGCTCTACCCCTGCAGCAGGTCTCTACCTGGGCCACCAGGCTTTTCAATACATCCTCTGAAATCTGTGAAGAGGCTGCCATGCCTCCACTGCTCTCATCTTCTCCTGGCCTGCAGACTTAACACTATGTAGATGCCACCAAGGTTTCCATGTTGTGCTCTCCAGAGCTGCTGCAGGAACCACACTGGGGTCCACTTGAGGCAGCGTTGCTTCGCCTAGAGCAGCCAGGATGCAGAAAGCAGTGCCCCAAGCAGTGCAGGGCTGCAGTTCCCCTGGTCTGTCCTCCAGAATAACTCAGTCCTCCTTGGCCTCTAGGCCTGTAACAGGAGGGCGCCCTTCCAGACTTTTGAAATGCCTTCAGGGCCTTCCTCCCGCTGTCTTGGCTGTTAGCACCTGGCTGCCTCATAGCCATGCTAATGTCTTTAGCAGTCAGCCCCTCTACTGCACCTTTGCATTCTTCTCCTTCAAATGCTTTCTCATCCTCCACCATATGGCCTGGCAGCAAATTTTCCAGATCTTTATGCTCTGCTTTCCTTCTAATTATAAATTCTGGCATTATATCATGCCTTCGCTACCATAACTGAGCATAGGCTATTGCAAGTAGCCATGCAGCTGTCTGAATGCTTTGCTGTTTGGAAATTCTTCTGCCAAACATTCTTGTTCACAACTCTTAAGTTCCACTTTCTACAAAGTTCTAGGGCATGGACACAATGCAGCCAAGTTCCTTGCTATGGTATAGCAAGGGTGATCTTTTGTCTAATTCCCCATAAGTTCCTTATTTGTATCTGAGACCTTATCATCACCATGGCTGTTACTGTCCACATTTCTGTCAGCATTCTGGTCACAACCATTTAACTAATCTCTAAGAAGTTCCAAACTTTCCCTTATCTTTTTGCCTTCTGAGTCCTCCAAACTCCTCCAACCCTCACCCATTACCCAGTTCCAGAGCTGCTTCCACATTTTCAGGTATCTGTATGGCAACACCCCACTATTACTACCAATTTTCTGTATTAGTCCATTTCTGATGCTTAGAATACCTGAAGCTGGGTAATTTATAAAGAACAGGTTTATTTGGCTTACAATTCTGGGACAGCTGTATCTGGCATGGGCCTCAGGCTGCTTCTACTCATGGCAGAAAATGGCAGGCAGCCAGGGGGTGCAAGATCACATGGTGAGAGGAAGTGAGAGAGAGGAAGTGCCAGGGGTTCTTTAAACAACTAGCTCTCGTGGGAACTAATAGAGCTGAGAACTCACTCACTACCCCCAACCCCAGGGCATTAATCTATTCATGAGGGATCTGCCCCCATGATCCAAAGTACTCCCAACATTGCCAAATTGGGGATCAGCTTTTGACATGAGCTTTGGGGGGACAACACGTCCAAACTCTATCAGGTGGTAAAACTTATCCCAGGAAGCCCTCAGCAGACTTATGTCCTATCAGCTGCATTTTTATCACGTCCAAAGACTACTCCCAACATTGCCAAATTGGGGATCAGCTTTTGACATGAGCTTTGGGGGGACAACACATCCAAACTCTATCAGGTGGTAAAACCTATCCCAGGAAGCCCTCAGCAGACTTATGTCCTATCAGCTGCATTTTTATCACGTCCAAAGAAAATTCTGGCATGGGAAAAGGGACTATCACTGTTGGCTCAGATAAATTGTGCTTCACCTTTTGGAGGTGGGGGTGGGAATAGGGATGGGTCCTCATTTCCCTGACTGAAGCCCATGGCTGTAAGGATGGGGATGGGGATGGGGACAAAGTCAGGTTTCTGCCCTCCAGGAAAAGGGCAGAAGAACCGCTGGGCAGGCAGCACTATCTGCCTCGTCTCTTTCCTTGGCTAGGCAGCACCCAGTCACACCCTTCTCTCCTTAGCCATCCATCTTCAAAAATATTCTGCAACCCATGTCTTCATTTTTGCACCACATTAATGCAAGTCTAGGATCCTCCTTCTAGTCAGACCTGGTAGTAGTCCTGTAATTAAAGATAAATTATCCATATACACCATCCAAATACAGAGTGGTAGAGAGAAGTCCCAAGTGGGTTCAACAGGAACCCCCTTTCCATGAGCACAGCAGCAGTGAGCACCACTGAGTAGCCAGTGTTTCACAGCATGTTGAAACCCTGGTCAGGTGGGCTTTGCCAGGAATTCCTTCTGCATCAGTGAAGTAAGCTGCCTGGTGAGACCTTGTTTCTGCTCCTTGGGTGCAATTTCATGTTCCATTGTCTTCTGTGGTTGAAGTTGAGGTGGTCATTGGGGAGGATGCTTTTCTGTAGCTTCAGAATCTCAATTGTGTTGTTGCAAGTTTGGGTTCCTATAGATTGCCTTCAGAAAGTAGCCAGTAATCATGTTTAATATTGTCTTTAATCATGTTTAAATAGTCTTTAAGTTTAAGAATTCCTGTCTTCTAGTCACTGGCTTTGGTATTCTTTCCTGATTTCTTGAATTCTTTGAACTCTCCCTGCAGTACCAACCATAATCTTATTTTTGCTGTTATTAATGCAGAAAGAATGTTCAACAGGAGATGCGTTAGTTTTTTTAGAAATCAGGTGATGGAAGTCAGAGATGTGGGAACCAAGCAACAATAAGGAATGAATGTGGTACCAGCAACAGAAGGATTGGGAGGCTAAAATATTGTTTGGTGGTTAGGACAGCTTCAGTATCCATGAATTCCTCAAGTCCACAGGGATAATAGGGACAGCCAAACAGGAGAAAATCTGATTCTAAGGCAAAGATTATTCAGCAGCCTATTTTCTTCTTGATGGAGACATTTTTGACTATAGGACCATGTAACAGTCTCATATAGGAGTATAACACTCCTTCCCAAGTCATTACGATAGTCAGAGTGCCAATGTTCATTTCTCAGTGCATCCAGGTGAAGATATTGCCCCAGTTGGGAATTGATGTTTGAGAAATATAATTTGGTGGTTGTGTATAAAATGATTAAGAGGAATCAGAGTTAGGTAGGAAAACTACTTATAATTTTATCACAGTTAACCTGGAATAAGGTGTTAGGATTCTCTGATCAGCTATCTCCAAACCTGAATTGCCACTGTGGTTTTTTTTGTTTGTTTTTTCTTATTTTTTTTTGTTTTACTACCGTGTTTTTTAATATCCTGTTCTGTTCATTTCCCTGGTCAGCGTATTTGTGGCATCTTGACTGAATCAACGTATTCTTTGTTCTGTTCAAGCTCCGAACATTTGCTGTTGTGCCTGAGGACTTGATCCTGTGTTTTATTCCCTGTCTACTTTGTATTTTTTTTTTGTTTGTTTTTATGTTAAAACAGCAGTCTGCTCATCCTGCACCCTCTTTTTCATTTCCCCCAGAGAGAACTCTTTCTTATGGTATTTGCCTCCGCATTTTAAATAACTAGTGTATTATATTGCACTTTGACTTTTTCTCCCTAATGATTACTCAGTATGGAAGGGCGATTTAATTCTCTTTCAAGCTTCTCCCCCATGCCTCCTCACCATATACACACTGTTTCTTCCCAGGCCTCCATCATTGTAAGACAGTTATTTCATATTTTTGGTTAGATCAGTCTTCAGTTTTTACATTATTGTGACTATGTAATTTCTATTTGTGGATAAATCATTTAAGTATACAATGAACCATTTTTGTTTATAAATTTTTATTTTTTCTGGAGTTATTTACTGTTTAATAACCTGTTATTGTTATTAATGTGTTTATCATTAATTTAACCCCATACTTGCCTTCTGATGTCTAAATATTCTTTTGATATAGTCAGCCAAATTAACAGTTCTATTCATTTCACCTTCCTGGTGACATCACTCCCAGGTCCTTCTGACATGCTCCAGTGTAGCTTAGTTTTTCTCAAGGCCTGCTGTACAGTTTTTATTCTGGGATCTTCTTTCTGATTTTATTTTCTATATCCTCTGTCATCTTTTTTTCTGGGTTTATTTTGTTGGAGCACCTCCTCCAGTAGCTACCTGTGAAAGGGTACATGTGATATAAGTTTTGAGAACTGTGCATCTGAAAGTGTTCTTACTTTACTCATTGCTCTATTTTCTGTCTTCTAGTGTTGCTAACATGAAGTCTGATGCCATTCTAATTTTGGGTCCATTATATGAAACATTGTATTTTTGGTTCCTCTGGAAGCTTTTAAGAGCTGCTTCTTGTCCTTAAGTGTTCTGAATAATGTTCTTTGTGATGTTTTTTTTGAGTCTGTTTTTATCCATTTGTCTAGGTGTTTAGTGGGAAATTATTCCCAAGAGGACTAGGAACTAATCTGCAGTGTTCTCTGCTATTTCTCTAGAGGTTAACACAGTGTTTGTCACATAATAGGTATTCACTAATTATTTGTTGAATGAATCTAATGTTTAGAGATCCCGTACAATCTGTTTATATTATTCTCTTTGTTCCTTGTGCCTATTTTTATTTTTTAGCCATTATACAAAGTTTTTAAAACTCAAAACCATCTTTATTTATTGTCAGTTACCTATACCTATCTTCAGTTTTTGTTTTGCTTTGTTTTCCCCAGTGCCCAGTAGTTTGGGTGCATTTACACTTGAGAGTATATTTAAATTCAGATCTGATATCTGAAACTAAAAGAAAAACCTAATGACATTGTATTTTTAAGGCAATTTTATACCATACTAGGATCATGTTACAATTATAATATATGACTAATTGTTTTCATTTCTAGACAAAGTCTGGGAAATTGATGATCATATGGAATGGCATCAGGAAAATCAAGGCAAGCCAGGAAGCATAGCAAAAAGCTTTGAATGCACTGAACTTGGAACACTATGTCTTCTTAGTACAAATTATGTTTCTTCAAGACAAAACCCACATAAATGCGGCATGCATAGAAAGAGTTTGAAATATAATACAGATCTTACTAGTAATTATGCTGGAAAGAATACTAATGGGTTTCATGTACATGAGGAATCATTCCTCCATTCTAAACATGAGCAGACTGTTATTGGAATAAACCACTATGAAATTAATGAATCTGGAAAAACTGTCAACAAGAAGTCACAACTAATGTGCGAACAAATGCATACGGGAGAAAAACCCTTTGAATGCAGTTACTGTGAGAAAGCCTTCAGCAGCAAGTCATATCTTGTAGTCCATCAACAAACTCATGCAGAAGAGAAGCCCTATGAATGCAATGAATGTGGGAAAGACTTCAGCAGTAAATCATACCTTGTGGTACATCAGAGAACTCATACAGGAGAGAAACTACATCAGTGCAAGGAATGTGGGAAAACATTTGGTTTCAATTCACAACTTGTTATACATCAAAGAATTCATACAGGTGAGAATCCCTACGAATGCTGTGAATGTGGGAAAGTCTTCAGTAGGAGAGACCAGCTTGGTTCACACCGGAGAATTCATTCAGGACAGAAACCCTATGGGTGTAATGAATGTGGGAAAGCTTTTAGTTTGAAGTCGCAGCTCATTATACATCAAAGAATTCATACAGGAGAGAAACCATATGAATGCAGTGAATGTCAAAAAGCCTTTAATACAAAGTCAAACCTTATGGTACATCAGAGAACCCACACAGGAGAGAAACCCTATGTTTGTAGTGAATGTGGGAAAGCCTTTACATTCAAGTCACAACTCATTGTACATCAGGGAGCTCACACTGGAGTAAAACCCTATGGATGCAGTCAGTGTGGAAAAGCCTTTAGTTTAAAGTCACAGCTCATTGTACATCAGAGAAGTCACACCGGAATGAGACCTTATGTATGTGATGAATGTGGCAAAGCTTTCAGGAGCAAGTCTTACCTCATTATACACATGCGAGCTCATACAGGAGAGAAACTTCATGAATGCTGTGATTGTGGGAAAGCCTTTAGTTTCAATTCACAACTTATTGTGCATCAGAGGATTCACACAGGAGAGAGCCCCTATGAATGTCATGAATGTGGGAAAGCCTTCAGTCGGAAATACCAGCTCATTTCACACCAGAGAACTCATGCAGGGGAAAAGCCCTATGCATGCAGTGACTGTGGAAAAGCTTTTGGTTTGAAGTCACAGCTTATTATACATCAGAGAACTCATACAGGAGAGAAACCATTTGAATGCAGTGAATGTTGCAAAGCCTTTAATACAAAGTCAAATCTTATTGTACATCAGAGAACCCATACAGGAGAGAAACCCTATGGTTGTAGTGAATGTGGAAAAGCCTTTACATTCAAATCACAGCTCATGGTACATCTGGGAGTTCACACTGGAATAAAACCCTATGGATGCAGTCAGTGTGGAAAAGCCTTTAGTTTGAAGTCTCAGCTCATTGTACATCAGAGAAGTCACACAGGAGTAAAACCATATGGATGCAGTGAGTGTGGGAAGGCCTTCAGGAGCAAGTCATACCTCATTATACACATGAGAACGCATACAGGAGAGAAACCACATGAATGCCGTGAATGTGGGAAATCCTTCAGTTTCAATTCACAACTAATTGTGCATCAGAGGATTCACACTGGAGAAAACCCCTATGAGTGCAGTGAATGTCGTAAAGCCTTTAATAGGAAAGACCAGCTTATTTCACATCAGCGAACACATGCTGGGGAAAAACCTTATGGGTGCAGCGAATGTGGGAAAGCTTTTAGCAGCAAGTCATATCTCATTATACACATGAGAACTCATTCAGAAGAGAAACCATATGAATGTACCCAATGTGGGAAAGCCTTTATTTGGAAGTCACTACTCATTGTACATGAACGAACTCATGCGGGGGGAAACCCTTACAAATGTAGTCAGTGTGAGAAATCCTTCAGTGGGAAATTACGGCTCATTGTACATCAGAGAATGCACACAAGAGAGAAGCCCTATGGGTGCAGTGAATGTGAAAAAGCCTTCTTTAGGAAATCTCAGCTCATTGTACATCAGAGAATTCATTCAGGAGAGAAACCCTATGCATGCAATGAATGTGGAAAAAACTTCTCTCAAAAATCAATTCTCAGTGCACATCAGAGGACACATACAGGAGAGAAGCCCTGTAAATGCACTGAATGTGGGAAGGCCTTTTGTTGGAAGTCACAGCTCATTATGCATCAGAGAACTCACATAGATGAGAAACATATTGATGAATTAAATGTGAGGAACTTTCTCTCAAAAGTCCATTCACAGGAGATAACAACAAAGTCGTTTAGAAGTGAAACTTTGTAAATAGAATTATCTCCTTGAACACCAGAAAACTTGTAGTGAATGGAAACCTTATGAATGCACAGCAAATGCAAGGGCCTCCACAGAAAGCTGGGTTTTATATGCAAAACACAAACAAACAAAAACCACAGGAAATGATTAGTTTAGCAAATCTTGTAAAAGTTTTCAGGGGCTGGCTCGTTAGCTCAGGTGGTTAAAGCCCAGTGTTATAGCACTAAGGTCAAGGGTTTGGATCCCTGCACTGACCAGTCATGACAAAAAAAAAAAAAAGGCTCGTTAGCTCAGGGGGTTAAAGCCCAGTGTTATAACACTAAGGTCAAGGGTTTGGATCCCTGCACTGACCAGTCATGAAAAAAAAAAAAAAAAAAAAAAAGTTTTCAGCAGCAAGTCATACCTTTTAAAACAGCTTATACAAGTGAAAAACCATATGAACCAAATGAATATTGGAAGTAATTTTATTAACATAAAATTCACATTGAGGAAACTCCGTGAATTAAATAAATATGGGATAGGCTCCTTTGAAATTCATAGTTTATTAAACATAAGGATTTTAATGAGAAATTGTAGAACTAATGAATGGCAGAATTATTAAAATTACATTTTAGGTTTCAGAAAGCTTATACCATGGAGTAACCATGCTATAAATTAGGGGAGTTCATCTAGGGATGACAAGCCTCTAGTAAAAAAATAATGTAGGATTGAATATGTATGATTGTACCAAATGAAATAAAGCCTCAGTAAAAAGGTTAACCTCACTGTATATCAGATTCATTTTAAAAATACCTATAATTTTAATTAATTTGGAAAAATAATTTTCCTTTAGAAATTATATTAAGTGAAATTATGTTCCAAATATTCTAATCTTTTAGGAAAAGATTGGAGATGATAGTCAACTATAAATGGTAATAGAATGTAATGATTTTTTTAGTGTGTGAACAAATGTAATAGGATAACAACAAGAAATATATTCTGAGACCTACAAGGGTATTTAGATATCTTCCTGTATGTACTGCATAACATGAATTTTGCATAGTTTGAGATTTTATTTGTGAGTGCCATGTATGAAATGTAAATTAAATAGATACAGTATCTCCCCGGGATTTCTACTCCGCATACCAGCATTGTTTCTGTGCTTCTTAACAAATACAACTTGTTACTAGTTGATATTGCTAATTAAAAACACAATTCAATGCTACAGACATTTTTTTTTACTATTTTCTATTTGTAAACAGTTCTGGCAGCTACCTTTATAGTCTCAGAAAACAATATAGTGCACATTTTATGTGTTTGTGTAGCCTGGAGTCTATTCTACCCTCACTGGTTAGAACATCTTGATTTCCTTTCAGAGAAATAATCCTCCACAGTGTATGCAGTCATGATAGGACCACTATTCATGATGCCCTCCCAAGGATTTGGCATGATCACCAAGGTTGGCTGAGGTGCTCAGAACTTCAAATTTGTGATGGACTTCTCAAGCACAGCAAAGCAAACAGCTTTTGTTCTATGGTAGCATCTTGATGTGATTATTAGTTCTTTCTGTATGGATTTCCCAGAATAGCTATAGTCATTGTCATTTTCTTAACCTAGTTCACTTGTCTCTCTTTTAATTTGAGCTATTTGTAACCCTTTTAATACATTCTTGTTTGATTAAGTTAGCTGTTACATGTTTCTATTGCTAACAGCTTAATAACTCAGACTGCTCAGAAATGGGTGCTAGAGAGAGCAAGGTGTAGATAGAAGCTTGCAAGGATTTGTGGATATTTGGAAATGTTTCCAAAGACAGGATGGAAGACTTTCAAGTCCCTATTTATATTCTGTGACAGGAGATTGACCCATGATATGAAGTCGTGAACTCATTGTTAGAATCATGTGCTCACTGAGGTTCTGTGGAAATGGAATAGTTGCTTTTGGAAAATTTCAAATATGAGTTCTTGACTATGGTCAAGAGGTGACTGCCTTTGATGGTCATGGATAACTCGAGAATAATGGGCTTAAAACCTCAATTCAAGATGGCATGTCAAGCTAGTGGACTTTAAGTGATATTGCTGAAATGTTTATATGTGGCTGTAGAGTCAGGGTGATAAAAAATCATTCTGGCAGTTGCTTACTCACAAAGTCAGTTTTCTTTACAACCTCATCAGATTTCTTATGTGAATGGGCATTAATCTGGCAGGAGTGGGACCCTGGCAATTAGGGCTATCTTGGAGGAATATGAGGATTCAACACTGCAGGTATATTTGAAACACCTTCCACTTGTATTTTATTTGAGGAGGGAATACTATCTCTTATCCAAAGAAACTGTTTCTTCCTTAAGGGGAGAAATTTAATGATTTTTGAATGCCTAATCCTTATTGTGTTTTGCTCATTATACAGAATATAATCTCAAGATACCCGGGGTGAAGAATGGTGATTCACAGAAGGGAAGAGAAAGCTTTCATAAAGAAAGAATTTCAGATATTTTCTAAAGTATATCCCCTAAATCTTGGAAATATTGTAAAAGTATTTTGTCATTGATGTATCAAGGAAGATAGAATAAACTCATAAGAGAAAGTCTATATTCAGTTTACTGCCCAAGGTTAGATTTTAGTGTGCTGTGTTATCTGATGGAAGTCCACATGCAACTTTGCCCAACAAAAGTGAGAAATGTTGAAATAATGTCAAGGGTAGCAATCAGATACAATAGGAAAGAATAATGCTGGATTAGGCCCTAATCTTAAATGAAAAAAAATTATCAAATAAATGAAACTTAACAGAAATGAATCAGTCTTCAACCAGTAAACAAAATAGATAAAAAAATATCAAATAAATGAAACTTAACAGAAATGAATCAGTCTTCAACCAGTAAACAAAATAGATAAAATTGAATCACTAGCTTAAAAATCTACCTACTCCCTTTACCCCTACCCCAGTCCCAGAAAAGAAAGGTTTCAGAGAGTTTTGGGGAATAAATAATTGTAAGGAAAAGCCAAGGAAAGATAATTCCAACATTTTACAAGCTTTTCCATCAAATAGACATTTGGGAGAAATATGACTTGCACATCATATTTGCAAATAGATTTCAAAATTTTCAGTGGAATTACAGCAAACTAACATAGCTAACAACAAAAATGACAACTAGGTTTAGCAGACTCCTAGTAGTAGACCCCAGTATTCCATCTTCATCACCAGCAGAATCACTGTTATTCATACTGGCAATGTGCCCAGTTAGACTACATTCCACACTGTCTTTGTAGCTAAGTGTGACCATGTTACTATTTTCTGACTGATGAGAAATGGATGTTGTGCAGAAGGTCTACTGGGAAGGTTCCTTAAAAAGTGAAACACAACTATTGAAAGCCCTTTTTCCTCATTTGTATCTGCAACACACGGTTGGAGATTTAGCAGCCATCTTAGAGCCTAAAGTCGTCTTGAGGATGGAAAGCATGTACTAGAATGTGCAACAGAAAGATTAAAGTGAAAACTTGGCTCTCATAACTGTGGAGCTGCCATACCAGCTCTAGACTGCCTACATCTGGATTGAACCATCTTGTTTAAGCTTCCTATTTTCTGGGTGGGAGGAGAGTTGGTTCTGTTAAATGCAGGTGAACCTGACACTAACTGAAGCACATTAGTATGTTTGGAAGATTTAATATTAGGAAATCTTTTAATGTAATTAGCCACAGTACCAGATAAGAAAAGCTATATGATTATCTCTATGTGCAAATAAGTCATCTGATGAAATTTAATACTCATAGAAGACTTTAGGAATAGAAATTAACTCTTTTAACGGTAAAAAGCGTGTTCCAAAAGCACAAATGTCATACTTAATGGTAAAACAATGGAAATATTCCTTGAAGTTAAGAAAATTGCAAGGATGCTCATCACTTACTGAACAATGTAATGGCAGTTCTAGGTAATATGTGAAAACAAAATATTTAAGAAATTAGGGATGGGGGCAAAAACAAAACAGCCATTGTTTGGAGCTGTGATTGTCTATTCTTTTTTTTTTTGTCTTTTGTCTTTTTCCATGTCCGGCAACGGATCGCAACCCTCAGTGTTGCCCCCGTACCGGACCGGGGACCGGCAACGGGATTGCAACCCTCGGCGTTGCTCCCGCGCCTCGCTCAGCCAGTGAGCGGGAACCGGTCTGCATGTGGGATCCGAACCCTCGGGCGGGAGCGCCGCCGCGCTTCCCAAGCGGCGCACTTATCCAGTGCACCACCGGGCCGGCCCCGTGATTGTCTATTCTGTGAACACCAAATAAACTACAAATATTTTGAATTGCTAATAATAGAGTAGCAAGTGTACTAGATATATGACAGATTTGCAACAATCAGTTGTGTTCTGCTTCTGGTTAAATAAGCTGGATAAGCTACGACATAATAGAAAACTGAGAACACAAACCCAAATGAACAAAACCCTACAAAGTAAGGAATGTTTTATATAAGAATGGAGAATTGCTGCTGCTTTTATCCTTGAAACCACAGAAAAAAAGATTTAACATACAGTAAGGGGAAACAAGATGAGCTGATAAACTTCACAGTTGCCTGTGGACTGGCATAATAGATTAGAATCCCAAGGAGCCCCTGCTGCAGAGTAATTTCCAGTCAACTCTACCACAGGTCCTTAGGGAGCCCTTGAAGGTAGGATGACGTGTGATGTCAGCAGAGAAATCTACAAAAACAAACCTGCTGAGATGCCTAGGTCTTTACCTAAGTGCAAGTCAGGTACTATCTGAAGGCGGCAGGTTGGCAGGACAACACGTGAGAGAAATCATTATAAGCAATCTGGATTTTTAGGCTGAGGAAGGGGTAGAGAATTGGGAGAACCCACTCTTTGTCCCTGGCCCCACCATACACATATTGGAAAACCACCCCAAGGCACTTGAGGCTTTCTACTACAGAAGAGGGGAGAAAGGTCAGGAGAACTGAGACAAATCCCTTCATGACATCCTTCACAGAGGGCTGTGCTAATGTACTCAGGAGACCCAGGGACTGCACCGCCTCTGGTAGCTTAGGAATCAGAAGGAAGACCTGGAAAGCAAAGTGACCTCCCCAGCAACCCAGAAAACAGTCAAGCTATAAAGCAGATTTCACACAGTTCTGAAAGCTGGTAGCTTGGCTGTGAGCTCAAGCAGATCTCTAGCACGTTTTCATTCTCAGATCCCAGGCCCTGCTGAGGGAAAAGCCCTGATCCTTCCCTCAAAATGTTTGAAGGCAGTGGTGAACTAAGTCAACTGAGATGCAACAAAGCCCAGACACAACTTAAG